GTTTGACAATTGTGGTGGAAAGATGTGAGACCTTTGTTATCTTTTGGCTTTCGAGATCGGGAAGGTGCTGTGGTGAAGTTTGTGGAGTGTATATAAGAAGGTGACCAAATAAACTTGTCTTTAGCTGTGTTAGAGACGTGTCCTCGACTGTTCATTTTTCTTCTACTTCGAAACTTTCCTCTTTTCCTGCCTCAGTCTCGGGCTAAGAACAAAATGGTTAACCCCTTATATGTACGCCGGTTTTCGTAACAGTCCGGTTCATACCAGAGACTGATTTACTTCACTATCTGGAACAGGACACCGGTTACCAGCACACAGGCTATAATCACTTGCTGCCTCTGACCAGCAGTAGCTCTTAGTTTTTCTGTAAAAAAAAAAAGAAAAAGGTTTCGTGTTTGTGAGTTTTCTTTCCAGGTTTAAAACTTTTTTTTTATCATAATTTTAGGAAATTAAGGACTAATCAAGCGAAACATTCTGTCTACAAAAGTGGGTCAGGAACTTTCAGGCAGCGAGAAGGAGAGCGAGGGTAAAAAAATTCCAGAAAGGGTGTTTCTTTTTTTTGAATCTAGAGAAATGAGCAAATCGGCTTCGCCACTCTAGTCGGTTACAAGTCAAGAAGGTAGAAGAAGCTCCTCCCACAAGCGTGATGCGCCCGCTTCAAATCTCTCCGCAGTCGAAAGAAGAGTTCACTGGAAACGCTCCTTGTTCCGCTTCAATGGATTCCCACTTGTCTCCGATCCTACTTTTTAAGAAAGCGACCTTTGTATTCATTGGAGGGGGAACCGAGCCCCTGAAAGCAGCCTTTGTATTCATCTGAGGGGGAAGCTAACCCCCGAAAGTCGTATTTCTTTCCATCGGAGGGGGAAAACTCTAATCTCCCTCTCGAGGCATCCACAATGCTAAGTAAAAGTCGAAAGCTAAAGCAAACATGTACAGAAAGGCAATACCCTCCTCGTGTGTTGGCCGCGACGTCACGGAAGCGATGGGACGGTATTGGATACGGGGGTGGCGGAGGGATATAGGATTCCCTTTGAGAGGCATTTGCCGCTACCTTCTTAACCTGTAACCGACTATAGTTGTCCACTGTTGTAAACGGATGTCTCTCCACGCCCCCCCCCCCCCTCCCACCGCTGTCCACCTCTGCTGCACAAAGCAGGGGGGGGGGGGGGGGGGGAAGAGGAGGGGGCTGTTACGCAGTCGTTCGTTCAAGCCTTGTGGGTGGTGACACCAAATGTGACACTATGGAAAAAAAAAAGGAGGATGAACGGAATTAGCTGGTAGCCGAAGGTTTTTTTCGCCTTCGAAAAGTGAGTTTTTTTTTTTTTTTTTTTAACTTTACTGTGACGGATGCTGGTTCCGTGCGGCGATAAGCTCGTGCAGGATTTCACCAGTTTTGGTCAAAGTAACGAGTAACGAGTAACGCAATTTGACAGCCGATACCGTAAAAAAGTAACGGAAATACTTTACTCAGTCATTCAAAATACTATCGAGTACGTTACTGCGTTAGCGAAAAATGTAACGCGTTACCAGTAACGTCGCTACTATTAACGCGTTACCTCCAACACTGCTTGCAAGTTTGTACTTGTATACGGAATAGGCTGGTTTATTAAACTTCTATGAGATTTGAAAACAATACCGTGTGTTCGTTTACTCCCTTTTTGCAATCACCGGGGCGCATACATTTTTTACTGTTTTCCTTGATGTCTCAATTAGGTGTATCAAGTTATGAAACGGGTGCATAAAGTGGTGTGACCATGCACCTTTGAATCGGGTGCATCTGTGTTCTCTCCGAATTCAATGAGTGTAGAAAGAGGTGTAACAGTACACTATTGAACGGGGTGCTCCTGTGTTCCATTTGAGAGCAGTAGGTGTAGAAAGGGGAGTAATGGTACACTATTGAGCGGGGTGCATCTGTGTTCCCTTTGAGTGAGGCGGGTGTATGAAGCGGTGCAATGGTACACCATCGAATGGGGTGCATGTGTGTTCCCTTTCATTTCATAGGGTGCAGAAAGAGGTGTAGCCGTACACCATTGAATGGGGTGCACCTGTGTTCCCTTCAAGTCAGATTTTTGTAGAAAAAGGTGTACATGCGCACCACACCAACGGGTGTATGCGTACTCCCATATTTGGGGTGCACATGTATTCCCCCAAAGGGTGTAGTATATGTGACAAGCACTTACACCCCCTATGAATGTACCCCATGACACCCTTTTTTTAAGAGTGATGGAACGAGAGGTCTTCGAGAACACGAAAGTCATTATTTCAGACAATGGACCGGCCTTCCGCAGCAAGAAGTTCCAAAGATGGGCACAGAAAAAAGGAATCACACTTCGATTTCCAGCCCCTTATCACCCGGAAGACAACGCGTTAGCTGAACGGGCGATACGCGGCATCGAACAATTCATAAAAATGTGCCCCGAGCTCACAGGTGGATGGAAATGAGCACTTGCGGCAGCCATTGCCCACCACAATTGTTCCCACACCGCTGGATTGGGATGTAGTTTACATTTCGCAGCACGCAGAGAGAGCCCATGGCTACCTGCCGATCATCTCCTGGGCCTAACCGACAAAATCACGCTACAAGAACAGAAACGCCCCCCACAGCAGCAAAAAAAATATCAATCGTCAATCAAAAGAAATTACGACACATGGCACCTAAGTCCCAGAGATTCAACCCGGCGGCATGATCTGGTACGAAAAGGCCTCCAAGGCTCCAAGGCTGCCTTTTCCGGTCCTTACATGGTTACCAAGACGTGCAGTCAACAAGGCATCCTCAAGACGCTGTACTACATGGGACCCAACAACACCACCGAAATGGCATCTATTAAGAATATAGTTCCATATCACCCCAGGAAGACAAAAGCCACAGCGTGTGTAGTGTTCCAAGAGGTAGACAAGAAGGAAGACCGACGATAGGCCAAGATATATCAATAAGAGGAGGATGAAGAGGTGGATAGAATAGAAGCACCAGTTTTAATCTTGACGCGTTTACGAATCGTTATAACTAGTTTAAATGATAGGAAAGAACCTGTTTCGGGAGATCTACGGCGGCGTAGATTGCCTAAATTTGCTACAGTGACGGAAACAAACATAGTTTGCACTAACACCCCATCAGCTGCCATTTTGGTAGACTCGCTGATGAGCGTGCACCTTTTGTGGCATATACATTTCACACCTGAAAGAGGTTTTTTTTTCTTGGCACGACCAAGTATGCTGACCACCAACATGGCAATATGACGTCACGCGCAAGCCACGTGTACAACGTTTCAATGTTTACGAAATCACAGCCCAGCGTGGGAACATCAGATTCCAGCACGTGCATGATCGTCGCTTCGGAAAGCGAGCGAAACACGCGTTACACGCACGAGCTCTGAAAAATGACCCCAACCAGGAGTCCGTTTTTGAGATAATCTATACACTGAAATCTAAGGGTATGTTCACAGTGGAGTCCGAATAGCAAGCGCGAACCGGATCCGCTCATTTTTTATCATTAAACGCGGGTGCAATTGCATAGGATCTGTAAGCAACCGCATTCGCAATCGCTTTAGGAATGCGGTTCTACCGCCAGTGCTAATCTGCGCAAGTGCTAATCTGAAGTTCAACACATGCTCTATGCTTTGCTAATCGCAGCGCATGGCTATGGTGAATATTTGCGGCGTATTATTGGCATGTGGCCGTTTGTGTTGGTTGCTCGTTCTCCTTACACCTTTTCGACGAGAGGTTTTGCTTAGAGTAAAAGCTGGCAAGTGTTTGATAGACTACAAACCTCAAAGATCAATGGTAATGTAGTGAGTGCGCAGGCGAGCTGGTGGATGTTAACCATTTTGTTCTTAGCCCGAGACTGAGACAGGAAAACAGGAAAGTTTCAGAGTAGAAGAAAAATGAACAGTCGAGTACACGTCTCTAATACAATAGAGACCTGTCCTCGACTGTTAATTTTTTACTTTGAAACTTTCCTTTTTTCCTGCCTCAGTCTTGGGCTAAGAACAAAATGCTCAAAGATCAGTTCTCAAATGTATTCACTGAATTTATAAAACATGTTGCACCACTCTTAGTGAGATTTTACGGTAACTCTGCAACATAATAAATATTAAAAGGTTTCGCGGCGTTCTTAAAATAAAAACACATGCTCACTCTCGATTAAGAAATGAAGTCAATCATACTTAAAGAACTACATTTGGTTTAATTTTGGCGATCACCCAAGCACACAAAAGCAGCACTCAAATAGTCTACTCCATATTTACTCTTTTGATGGCACCCACATTAAGACGTCAGTAGCGATTACTTGTCTTTATGTTTAATTGATACCATGAGTCCGGAACTTTGACATTCAGCAATCCGGCGCTTCTTGTTATACATTCTTTTTAGATGATCAATAGTGTATTGGAAGGAATACAATGGAGCCTTTCGTCTTAGTAGTACCACGATTCCGTAAGAATAAAGAGGCTTCGCATGCCGCGTTTTTATACAGTCACAACATTCGAGACTAATTTAGAACCCTGGCCTTACACTTGAGCACATTGTTTTTGTCCAACAAGTGCTTGCCTGGGATGTTGCAAAGTAATAAACACTTGGCTGTACATTGTGATAGGTGTGAGTGTCAGGCCGAGTTTAATAATACCAAGATTATGGGAAAATTCAAAACGAAATTGGAACGCGCACTACACGAGGCATTCATGATAAGGGCCCATGGCACGAATGTGTGTATTGTGTCCCTTCTTTTGCCTTATCCGATGAGGAGCAGGCTTTTATCGGTCACTCAGCAGTGGCGGCAGGCTTTCCAGGGGGTTAATGAAAGCCCGTATTTGCGTATGTGCGGTTTTGTTCTTCTTTTATGTGTTCTTTTCTGTGTTTTCTTCAGTAAAGTTTAGTTGCAAGTTACGCCTCGAGTCCTGTGTGCTTCTTTCTTTGTCCGTGTTTTTAAGGCGTATTTTCCACCATGCAATATAAGTGCCAACTAGCCCAACTAGCAGTTTTAATAAACATACTTTTATTTTCAGCTTCATTGTTCAGGCGTTCCATCCTAAAACCGCCGATGGCCACAAAATTGCGTACAAGGCACAAGCTCGGATTTATCGGAATGGGAGTATGTAAAAGTAATTGCAAAATTAATGCGCATAGCGCATATTTATATGCATTTATAACTTTTTTTATAGCGTTTCACGACACGTGGGTGATCTACACAGACAGAAAGCGGTGCACTCTACTCCGAACTCCGGGATATCACAACCGTAAGTATTTGTCCTAAATATACTTGCAGGTTCATATATATGATCTCTCGAACGAACACTAAATTTCAAGAAAACGTTACATCGTCTGTGGAGTCAATCCTTACCAACACCAGCAATATAACACTACAATTTTTGACAAATAATATTTTTTCGGTGAAGCTATCTATGTTCTTACTGTTTTCATTAATTCCTCATGTACTCATGGCAATCATCATAGTGCATTTAAAATAGACCACTTTCTATGAAAAATAACCTCGACATTGTTTTGACATAGATTTTAATATTTTAAATTTTCTCGCGTCGCGTTTTTTTTTTTATCCTTTTTTTAGCCAGCATACATTCCGTTGGAGGTATATGCACTAGTTTTGAGTTTTAAGCATCTAAATATGCTAAAAAAGATCAAATGCAGATGTTAGGTTTATGGGTTATAGCTGTATATTTTATTCTTTATTATAATATTATAAGGACAGTTTAATCAATAATCATATCAAAGACATTGATGTGTTAGGCGTATAGTAACAAGTGTGTAATTCCAAACGTTTAAACACTATAACATCGCAACTGCCGAAAGCGGGTTTTCAGACAATTTCTGTTCGTTCCACGATTAGAGAGGCCTCAAGCCTAAACCCTAGTGTTTGAACGGCGCAATGACGACAGGAAGATAGAATAGAAGAGGACACTCTTCTATTCTATCTTCCTGTCGTCATTGCGCTGTTCAAACACTAAGTATGAACCAACTAGCCCACCGCAGTACCTAAACCCTACTCGCGACATAATCTAGACTACGTTAGAAATATCAAAGTATAATACTGTAAAACATTAGAGTAAAATTCAATTCCCTTTTGAAAACCTCGATTTTTAAATGCGAAACGTTATATATTTAATGCGAAATTTTTGTATTTTTAATGCGAAATTCATGTTGATAACAAAACAGAATAATTGTTTATCATCTTTAGAGTCTTAAAACTCAAAACCAATGCATATACCTCTAACGAAATGTATTCTGGGTAAAAGAAAAGCGTGAAAAAAACGCGACGCAAAAAAAAATAAATAAATAAAGATGTTTTTTTATATATAGCGTGCTGAACTCGAACGAAAAGTGAAAACTTTCTCTGTTCCATAATTTAGTTCTCAGTACTCGTACGTGATAAAGGCACACACTTTGCCTAATTTGGAAGGCAATGAAAGGTTCTACACGTTGTATTATTTTAAAAGCGGTACCAAACATACTCGTCTAAAAAAAATATTCGCAGTTTAGATCACAGTTGTTCGCGAAGGCAAGTGTGGAGATTTTTATAAATATTGGATCGATTAATAATAAATAGTAGTTGGAATGTCCTTTTATCGACTTGAATATATATAACAATAACAAATATAGACGCTCTTTTTTGAATACTTTGAGATTGAGAGTGGTTCAAATACGCCACAAACGACAATCGTCGAAACACACCATTGGCATTTGCTCTTTTTTTTAGCATATTTAGAGGCTTAAACCTCAAAACCAGTGGAAACACCTCTAACGGAATGTATTCGGGGTAAAAGAAGAGTGAGAAGAAAACGCGACGGCAAAAAAACATAAACAAAACAAACAAAAAACATTAAGAATGTTTTTTTTTTAACAGCGTGCTGAAATTGAACGAAAAGTGGAAACCTTCTCTGTTTCATAATTTATTTTCAGTACTCGTACATGATGAAGGCACAATCCTTGCTTAATTTGGAAGGCAATGAAAGGTTCTACACGTGGTATTATTTTAAAAGCGATACTAAACATAGTCGACTCAAAAAAAATCCGCAATTCGGGTCAAAGTTTTTCGCGGAGGCATGTTTCGGGTTTTTACAAAATTGGAGCGTCGAATAATAAACAGTAGTTATAATATCGTTTTACCTACTTGCATTAATATCACACTGAAAAATATAGACGTTCTGTTTCGAATACGTCGATATTGAAAGTGATTGAAAAAGCCCACAGACGACAATCGTCAAAACCGCGTCGTCCTTTCCCGCTTCTTTGAGATTTCTTTTCTCCGAAACTAAAAATGTCAGGACGGAGGCGGATGCAGGAATTTCCTGAAGGGGGGGGGGGGGGGGGGGGGGGTCAGGTGTTGGTCAGCGTACCATTTGTTTAGGAGCCCCCTCCCCTCTCTCTCGTTTCACGCCCTAAATTTTACACATGCAGAATTCAAGAGGGGGGTCAGGACATCCGGACCCCCCCTCTAAATCCGCCCCTCTTGTACGACAATAAAATAAATAGGATTATTCTTCGTGGAACATGCGCAACAAAATATAAAAAAGTTGAAGCAAAATAAAAAATACCACTGCACCTCGTTGCCTGAATCAAAATGAAACCACCCATATTTCTCTCTCTCTCTCTCTCTCTCTCTCTCTCTATATATATATATATGTATGTGAGGCAGAGTAGTTTCAGAACAATGGACCGGGAAAATGTAATAAGTCAGAAATCCGTACTTGCGGAGTTGCTTTGCTAGGAGTTTATTGCATGTATTACGACAGTTTCGTCGAGAGGCTCTGCTTCGTCAGGAGATGGCATACATGTATGCCATCTCCTGAAGAAGCCGAGCCTCTCGGCGAAGCTAAACTATCGTAATACATACAGTAAACTCCTATCGTAATACATACAATAAACTCCTAGCATAGCAGCTCCGCAAGTACGGATCTCTGACTATATCTATCTATCTATCTATCTATCTATATATATATATATACATATATATATATATAACCACTTGAATTCACATCAAATACTCGTTCTGCGATTCCCCGAGTAGCATTTCGTTATTTCGCTAGAGCCCACAAAGAACACGTTTACTCCGAACAACATCTAGGAATTGGAACATTAGCTATTTAGGAAGCACTACAGCTAGCCCTAGGTGTGCTTAGACACAAGGTTGCACGCGAATCGGAAGACGTAATTTTGCATCATTCGGCAGTCAATAAATATACCACTTTTATTATACAAATCCAAAACAATTGCAACGCTAGTTGTAAAATTAATTTTGTTTTTTGTTCTGATTGCGGAAAAAATATAAAATTAGTCTGTAATTTTGATTTTATGCCTTGGAGCCTTGAACTAAAAGGAATCTTGTCTCGTCTTCTTTTCTTTTTTTCCAGTGTGCGAATTATTTACAGCTGGTCACCGTATTAGTGGAAGCTTGAACAATTACTGCTTTTTTATTTACACTATGTATTGTAAGGAACCAGCGAAGAAATTTACGAGTTTGGGCGACTGTTGGCCACCTGCAAGACAACCAAACCCTTAGAAATATTTCACTACAGCTCTAACATGTTTGCTGCTGTAATAACTCAATAAATACAAAATATACCTTTTGGAATGCTGTATTCGTATTTTATATATTAGGACAGTATTTTCTCTCTCCTGAGAATCAGATGTGCGTGTAAAAAATAAACAATTACGAACTATTAATTAGTACCATATATAGTCGATTGTAGTTACAAGTGAGGAGCTGCAACAAAGATGGTGAATACCACTTAAAAATAAGCTCGAGGTTACGTATTTTGTACTGTGTCTTTATAGTTTAGCATGCATTCCTTTTAGGGATGTCGCGAACCACCCTAGGTTCGATTTCGAAAGGTTTCGATATTTGCGAAGCGAACTGAGATTCGATTTCGAAAAATTTCGATATTTTCGTACCGACCGAGGTCCGATTTCGAAAAATTCGCAACTTTTGACCACAGCGGAGTTTCGAATTCGAAAATTTCGAAGCTTTCACGGTTTCCAAAATTTCGATTTCGAATATTTCAAATATTTTTTTACTTCAGGTTCGATAAATTCGAAGATCTCGAAATTTTGTGTAAAAAAATTCGAAAACTTCGAACGCTTCAAATTTTTATAGACACAAAGTTCGAACAATTCGAAGATTTCGAATTTCTTTTTGCATAAAGTTCGAAAAGTTCGAAGGTTTCGATTCTCTTTTAACGCTAAATTAAAAAAAAAATCTTTGAAGATTTTGAATTTCTTTTTAGTCCAAGTTTTCAAAGTTCGAAATCCGATTTTCAAGTTTTTCCACAGTTTCAGTTTCAAATGACGTTTTCACGACGTACTGGTTTTCATGAAATCAAGTTTAGAAAAGTTAGGGTGTGATATCTAGATTCTGCGAAGTTGGTTAGTGTCCCGGACGTGCTAGAATATTTGCCAGTGCAGAATTGTGACCGCCAGCCCGGGGGGGGGGGGGGGGGGGGGTCTTTAACCTGCATTACGCAGTAGTGATTGCACGAACACACTGTTTTACGAGACTCATCCAGTTCGAAACGGCCAGAACGAGCAGGAGGTTGAGGCTCAGAAAAACCTTGAAGCGACCTGGCAAACTACCTCGCCACCCCTTGCACGCTGGTAGTAATCCGATCCAGTGAAGTTTATAATTGTCCTGGAGGTTTATTTTCTGGGACGGAGGAATCGCCTCGCAAAAAGCAGAAAAGCCGACACAACTCGAGCTCGAGGAGCGTTCTACCATACAAGTGGCGTCGGAAGAGGAAAAACGGGGGGAAAGAGGGTAGCGAAGGGGGGCGGGGGGGGGGGGGGGGGGGGGGGGGGGGGAGCTTCAGTCTCCTTCTCCCCCTTGCAGGTATTTCGGACTGTTAAAGAAAACAATACGGGGAAAGAGGGCGTGGTCGAGCTTATTTTAATCTGAAATTATTTATGCATATGTATGGCTACTGTCGCTCTTCACTGCATAAAAGGTTGCGTAGATGGTCATTGTTAGAAACTCGTTGTCAGAAGGCACTGCTCGTCACATGCTTAGTGGTTCGGAAGTTCAAAGCTGTCTTTTCGACCTAAACACCTGTGCCGATAGTAACAAAAAAAAAAAGAATAAATGCGGGAATAAAAAGCAGGAGGAAAAAAAAAACTATCAAGAATTCGTCGGAAGTGTTCTATTCTTGCATATTCAGAGATTCAGAACTTCGAAACAAGTCTCTTTTACCAAAATCTGTACAGGCTAAAAGAAACACGTCCCAGGAACGTGAAGCGAAAAAAAAAGTTTTCTTTTAATGACGTGCTGAACTTGAACACTATTAGAAATCTTCTCCCATGAGTTAATTTATTCCTTAACGTGAAAAAACAATAAATATATTATTTCGTATTCTGCAGATGGCAATGATATGTACTGTCTGTGGTGTTAATTTAAATGCGATACCTCAAACAACTTAGACGAAAATAAATATCAATTTTAGGTTATAATTGCATGCAGATACATGTTTGGACATTTCTTCGAAACTCACGTTGAATAACAATAATCACATCTTAAGACGGCACTTACCTAGGCTATACATCGATCATTCTTAAAAAAAGTATAACATATCTACCATAAATAGCTCCGGCTGCAGCGTGCTTCAAATCTGGCACAAACGATAATCGTCAAAAACCCGTCGTCCTTCCTCGCCCCTTCGGGGATTTATTTCTTTAAACCTAAGCATGCCAGAACATCGAAATAAACGACATTGTCTTTCGTAAGGAACGCAGCACCGCGTGTAGAAGTTCGAGAAAAAAAATTACGAATGTACCCCACTACTTGAAATCAAATGAAACCGTCCGCCAATCTTTCGAAGTTCGACGAACGTCGAACTTTTACCTTAAAAGTTCGAAGTTCGTCGAACTTCTGACTTTTCAGAATCCGAAAGTTCGAAACTTTTCGAATTCTCTTGATAAATAAGTTCGAAAGTTCGAAAGTCATCAAATTTTTTGGTCAGTCAAGTTCGAAAGTTCGACAAGCATCGAACCTTGCAGCGCAATAAATTCGAAAGTTCGAAAAAGATCGAATTTTTTAGCGTAATAAGTTCGACGGTTCGAAAAGCGTCGAACTTCTTAGCTTAACAAGTTCGAAAATTCGACCTCCGTCGAATTTTACGATATAGACAATTCGAAAAATCGAAATCTTTCGAACCTTTCGAACCGCTTGATTCGATCATCGAAACTTCGATTCAAAAAAAGTTCGCGGCATCCCTAATTCCTCTCAGGACACCATGCCATAAGGTACTCTATAAAAACCTCATAATGATTTCTAACCTAAGGCTGGTTACTGTGCATATGCTCCTAGATTCTTAGGTCGAGTAGTCAGAAAATGTCCTATTAGTGATGGTTTCAATATCAAGAAGCCAGTAAACGGTGCTAAACTCACCCGGAAAGCATAGAGTCAAACATTACCTTTATCCAGTAACTGACACAAATCCTGTTATCAACTAGAACCATCCTCCAGAACGACTTCCGGTCGGCTATTAGTGCGTCATCTGCAATTAGTTGCTTTTTGTTTAAACAAAATCACCACGACATTTTTTTCTTCTTTTTCGTTAGGATGAAGCCATGGATCTCCACTAGAGGGGGCTGAAGGGAGCATTGAGCAAACAGGTATGCAGCACCCGGAAGAAAGCGGCTTGTCCCAGAAGTAAGCGCTTGACAGGCTTTGCCAGTCAAACTGGCGGTGCTCCAAACAGTGTCCAAGGCGCTTGATCTACTTTTGTTATATCAAGAGAGCCTGCTTCTAGCGCAATAACAGCTCATGCAGGCCCGAGAAGTCTTCTTGGAAGCCATTTGAGGTGGGAATATATCGAGATTTTAGTTGATTAAGTGTACATGCATCACATTCAAATGCCTCATTCTCAAGATTGAATATTAAACGGGATTATTAAAACCCACGCAAAAGACCAAAAGAGCGTGAACCAAAACATTAACTAAACGCACTATAAAACCCAGCAGACACTCGACTTCCGGGACAAGCATCGAACTTCCGGTGGCATCACTCGTGCCCGACTCGGAGCGCTGCTAAGCGCCATCCAGCCCCCAATATTTGAGATCAGTGGATAAAAAACATAATATTGCTGCTCTTTACGGATTCAAAAGTTTACTCTGCTAAGGTGGAGCACATAGTTCCGTTAGCTAGCGCTTATCCCTCATACTTTTCTGTCAATGGTCGGGCGGATTTGTTTCTATTTTGAGTGTTGAAAACAGTCGCGCGTCGGCTGCCGCGGCTGCTCGCGGTGCCTGACGCCTGTGCCAGCGGTGCGATGGTGCTTTCGGTTTGCGGCAGGGAGCAGTGGCGTTGACTGTTGGTTATGTTATCTGTCTGCTCCGTCTGACAGTACGCCGAGCACGCGGCAGCATGTCCATTGCTCGGCTCGGTGGTGCTCTAATTGCGGTGGCAACAGCTCTGCCAAGCTCTTTGGGTTCCTGAAGGACGAAAAATAAAAACAGTGGCTATTTTCTTTTTGGGTTATACAGTTTCGGACTGCCGAAAACTTACGAAAAGGCAAACAGCGCACAGTAAACGGGGACTAAAGGAAGTGCAAACAGGACAAGCGCTGACTCTCAACTGAAATTTAATCACATGAGAACAAAACAAAGAAAACAGCAACTCCGCCCACGTAACATGATACATTCACCACGTGTCCAAAAAAAACAATCTCTTTACTACTCAAGCCCAGTGACGTTTGGCTTACACAGTTCGCGCCTGCTTTGATAATTGCATGCGCCTCTAAAATTTCTCTATTTACTCTGTCCCTTCCAATGCCAACGATACAAGTCTTACTGAAGATAAGTTCGCACCCATATCCATGACAGTGCAATGGCAGATGCCCCCTACAGCTCCCACCACTGATCGCAACGACAAGTCATGCTCCCGCAGTCTGTGATTAACACATCTGCCCGTCTGACGGACGTAGGCTTTCCCACATGTCAGTGGAATCGTGTAAACAATTCCCACCTTGCAAACAACATATTGATTGTCATGCTTCACCGAGCAAGCGGGGCCTTTGTGCTTCTTATATGCAACTCTCGCGCATAGTTGCGCCAGCTTACACGAAGCGGAAAACACCAATGGCACATCGAACCTCAAGGCAACTTTTTTCAAGTTATGTGAAATTTTATGGAGATATGGTATTACGAGCGGTTTCGTATTTGGCCTTTCCCTCCGGGGACGAGGTTCCCCCTTGAGTTTCTTTAACAAACCCTCCACAACGCTCAATAAAACCGAAGTTGGGAAACCTGCCACTGTCAGTCTCTCAACATGCCGGGAAAAACTATCGTTAACCACATGATGACATGACTTCTCGAGTGCAGCTTGTAGGCAAGACGAGGCAATGTTTCTCTTGACCAGCTTAGAGTTTCCTAACTTCGGTTAGGAGCATCCGATATAATTATCGCAGCACGGCATAAAATACTCGCCCTAGAGCACCGCGTACAAGATTCCGACGTTTGCGCGTTTCTGCCTTAGACTTGCGTGTATTGCCTGTTGTCAAGCAATGGCCGCCG